GAGAGATTTACCCACCTCCTCCGTGCATTCAGCAAGATGCAAGTCAGATGAAGGAGCACGCCTCACAGAAATTCCTAAATCAGCTTGATCATCAAAAGCATTTGATCACATTAAAACGAGTGGAACTTATCAGAATATAATTTGAATCTGAAAGCTTGCAAGCTACATTTCAGATCATTTTCTTAGGAGAGATTCCCATTTACATGCTAATGGAGGTTTTCTATTTTCTTTATACAGAATTCCATCTGAAAATCTCTCAGTTACTGTCTGTAAAAGCAAGAAGATTTGTAAAGCTCTTTTGTTTATTGCCTTAATATAATGGTGTCTATCATGAAAATGGTTTTTCAAATGCGCATATTTTTAAAATGTACAATGTAGTGCATGTAAATGTACTACAGTTTATAATTACTTTTTTTTTTTGAGATGGAGTCTTACTCTGTCGCCCAGTCTGGGGTGCAGTGGAACACTCATGGCCACCCCAGCAGCGACCTGCTGGGCTCTGGTGATCCTTCCGCTTCAGCCTTCCAAGTAATTGGAACTACAGGAACTCGCTACCAAGGCTGGCTAATTTTTTGATTTATTGTAGAGACGAGGTCTTGCCAAGTTGCCTAAGCTGGTCTCGAACCTGCGGGCATAGGCAATCCACTCGCCTGGGCCTCTCAAAAGTGCTGGGATTACAGGCTGAGCCATCAAGCCTGGTCTACTTTTGTTTTACTTTATTTTTTATTTTATTTTGTTTTATTTTGAGTTGGAGTCTCACTCTGTCGCCCAGACTGGAGTGCAGTGGCTGCTCCCGGCCACCGCAGCCTCGACCCGCTGGTCTGGCGATCCTTCCGCCTCAGCCTTCCAAGTAGCTGGAACTACAGGCGCGCGCTACCACGCCCGGCTAATTTTTTGATTTATTGTAGAGTTGAGGTCTCGCCAAGTTGCCCAGGCGGGTCTCGAACCCGCGGGCTCAGGCAATTCACTCACTTCGGCCTCCCAAAGCGCAGGATTACAAGCTGAGCCACCAAACCCGGCCTGTTTTACTTTAAATATTTCTGTGGTTATCCATTAATTATGAAAATAATATTTAACATTTATTGAGGGTTTACTCTGTGCCATGCACTATCTACTACACACACACACACACACACACACACACACACACACACACACACACACACACGGGACCCCCCCAAAAAAAACCAGAATTTTTTTTGGAGGGCAAGATCCTTGCAGTACAGTCTCTTTCACTAGGTAAGTATTCTAGGAACCTATCGGCATCAGTGTACCAGCTAGGGTTGTTGTGAGAGGCTGTGTTCAGCTTCAGTGAATTTTTTTGGAGATTCTCTCAGTGCATCTGCACATTTCATGATGGGTGATTTACATGAACAGCACTGAGTGTTCAGCAATTTTTGACCAAAAACAGCATGACCCCGTGCCTCTCACTCCCTATTCATCCAATCTTACCCTGAGTGACTTTTTTTTTGTTTCCCTGATTTAAAAAAGTCCTCAAAGAGAAACATTTTACTGATGTGGAAGAGGTGAAGTAAAAACCGGCAGAAACACTAAAAAGCATCAAAATTGACAAGTTTGAACATTGTTTTGAGCAGTGAAAAAAGCATTTCGATAGGTGTGTTGTATCAAACAGAGTACTTTGAAGGTGAATTAAGTTTAACATGTAAGAATAAATACACAATTAAAAAAAATAAATTCCAGGTTTTTTGGTTTCCCCCTCATATGTATGTGTGTGTGTCTTATTTAATTCTCAATAATTGCATATGGCAGATAGATACTATTATCAGATAGGGTGAAATTGCTCAATGTCACATATTTACTAAAAAATGGAGCGGATACTTAAATCCAGGCAGCCTGACTCCAGATCCTTCTCTTTTATAATAAGCTCAGTATTTTCCAAAGTATGAAGTTTTGGAAAGTTAATTGCACAGAATATTAGTGTGATTTTTGAAAGAAAAAAAGAAAAGAAAGAAAAATTAATTATTAAATAAATTTGAGGGCTATTGGGTTGAAAAATATTGGGGATTTCTCAGAATCACTAAAAGCTAAAGTGCTTTACAAATCTCTAAAACACAAATGCAGAATGTAACACTTCCCAAGCCTCCTTGAACACAAAACTCTTTTTGGCTGAGTCTCTTAGGGTCCTGATTCTGTAAAGAAAGTCTATGACATGATAACCCACAAATCAGTGGTCTGCAAAGTGGTCTATCTCCTTGCCCACTGAGGCTGAATCCTTCTCATTCCACAGGGACTAAAGAAAGGCCTGATAGGGGAGAAGGGAGGGGTAAGTTGCCAGTATGTACCTGTGTTCTTTGAAAATTGTCACTTAAGTAAATTGGTAATACTGCTGCTGGGTGGGTGTGGTGTGTTGCTCTGTACTTTTGACTCTGCCACAGAAAAGAATTTCAGAATGAATCCCAAGTATAGTTTAAGACAATTTATTAGAAAGAAAGACACGTCCCCATAGAGCCTGGGTGCCTTAAGAGAAAGGACACATGCTTGCTTTTGATAAGAAGCTTTATATAGTTTTACAATGATGGTTAAGCAAACCATGAGCTATGAAGTATGGGTTTTGATTACCATCTAAATTCTATGAGCTAAGAGAGGTGGGATGCAGGTGTCTGGTCATGAGTTTTGATTACCATCTCCCAACCTTCTAAGGTCACAAGGACATTCTAAATAATAAAAGTTATTGCCTAAGTAGATGTGGGCTTTTAAAGGCCATATCATGTCTGTATTTTGGGTAACTCCCTGTATTTTCTGTGATTTACTGCACTGGAAGATCCACATTCCAGCCCTCAAGGTAGTCAGGTCTGGTGTGCCTGATCAGTCAAGTGAAGGTCACGTACTGACAAGAAAGACGCCTGAACACTTACCCTATTTTAATTTAAACCTGCTTACAGGAGACTTAACTATCTATGCCTAACCTGCCCTGAATAGTCTTCCTCAATACCTTTCTGGGGAATGATTTAACCACACAAATGAAAAGCCCCTTAACCTGGGAGTGCTCAAGACAAACCACCAGGGTGGGAAGGAAATATTAGAACTTCCATTTAAGACCTCACATTTAATTTGTTTTGTTCCCTTTTTCACAAGTTTCAAGATTATATATGAAATATTAAAATAGTAACATGTACATAATTTGCAAATAATTTAATAAACATATAATGGGATGGGCCTCGATAATATTAAGGAAGTCACTTAGCCACACATATGAAAAGCATTTAATTCATTTTCTTTGGCTCAGCAATTTCACTTCTTGGAATTTCATCCATTTATTCTAAGGAAATATCCTTGCATGTCTACAAATATCAAGCTACAGGATATTTATTGAAGAACTGCTTGTGTTTGTGAGAAGTGAAAAACATTCTAAATATCTGACTACTGAGAATTGGTTACATAAACTATGGTGCATCCATATAAAGAATCCTAATAGAGAGCAATTAAAAATTATCTACTAATAGAATACACAATTGCTTAGAAAAAAAATACTGATTTTTGTCAGTTAAAAAAAAAAGATGATAGAGTTCATATGCCTAAAAGAAAGGACTGGAATAATAAACCAAAATGTTATGGTAATTTCACAGTAAGATAAGGGGGAAATTTTATTTTCTTTGTGCTGTCTTCCTCTGTTATCCTAACTTTTAAACAAGAAATGTATATTTTTAGTAAGTTTTATATTCAGAAAGTTTGGCCAGGCACAGTGGCTCATGCCTGTAATCCCAGCACTTTGAGATGCCAAGGTAAGAAGATTGATTGAGCACCGGAATTTGAGACCATCCTGGGCAACATAGCGAGACCTCGTCTCTACAAAAAATAAAAAATATTAGTTGGACATGGTGATGCATGACCATAGTCCCAGCTACTCAGGAGGCTGAGGAGGAAGGATTGCCTGAACCCAGGAGGCCTAGGCTGCGGTGAGCCATGATCTGTGCCACTCACACCAGACTGGGCGACAGAGTGAGATTTTATCTCAAAAAATAAATAACAAAAAGCTCAAAATTTGAAACTTATAAAAGGTATATAGCTACAGAGTCTTTTTCCTAGCCCTGTCTCCTAGACAACCTAGTCATCTCCAAAAGTTCCCAAGGTTTTTGGTCTCTCATATATTTTGCCAAGGATATGTTTTGCTGATAAAATTCATGTATTTACATATATTCTTTTTCTCACAAAGAATAGCATGCAATATACATTATTTTGTACTTTTCTATATTGTGGGAGTATATCTGGAGGATACATTCCTGAAAGTGAAATTGCTGGGTCATAGGAAATGTACATTGTAATTTGGACAAGTGTTACCATATTGCCCCTGAGGTTATGAAAAAAATATTCTCATGTTTTTTTCCTAGTAGTTTCTTGGTTTGGGTTTTTATATTTCACTTTAGATTCATTTAAATTGATCTTGGCTGAATACATACCTAATTTAAAAAGACAAATAACTAAAAATATTAAACTTCTCACTCATGGTGGAAATTCAAGTGCTGGTTGTCCCCATCTGTTAGATCACAAGATCTAGATGCAAATGGGACATCTTGCAAAGGTTCAGCTTACACAGCGGATGAATAACATAGCAAGACCTCTGCTCTGCTGTGTGCCAGTTTACTTGCTTCCAGAGTCACTTGGTAGTGAAGAGGCAGACTGGAGGAGCTTGAATTCCACCTTCAAGTGAATTTCTCACTTCAAAAGAACTCAGGTTGCTGGTTGGAGTTCCCCTCTGAAATATTGTAAGTTGCTTCAATATTTAAATAAAAAAGAAGTGGGATCCCCTGGAGAACTGGGGTATGTGGGTATGGGCTGCATGAACGTGTGTGTGGCAATGTGAGGGCATTTAGGAAGAGAATTAATTTTGTTTCTGCAGAGACTCTGCAGACCTGCTACTCGCCGGCGAACATAACAGCTGAACTGAAATGTCAGACGGATTTGCACAGCTGACTCAAGTTGCCGAAAGGAGAGCGGCATAGTAGTTCCATAAATTGGCCCTGTCCAGTCAAGCCTTGCTTAATATAGATCCGGCCTGAGCTTAGCTGCGGTCACTCCTAGCTGCTCAGCAAACACCACTGAGGTTCTTGGGAAAAAATATCTCAAGGGTGTGTTGACCTGGAACACTTGTTAAGTGGGGAAACTTCTTGAGGGTTTCCCCCCCTCTTCCTTTTTAAAAGTCATCTTTGATTATTCTTCTTTTCTAGTAAAATAGAAACAGAAAAAATAATGTCAGAGCACAGCAGGAATTCAGATCAAGAAGAACTCCTTGATGAAGAGCTTAATGAAGATGAAATTTTGGCCAACTTATCCCCCGAAGAACTGAAGGAACTGCAATCGGAAATGGAAGTCATGGCCCCTGACCCTAGCCTTCCCGTGGGAATGATTCAAAAAGATCAAACCGACAAGCCACCAACAGGAAACTTTGATCACAAATCTCTTGTTGATTATATGTATTGGGAAAAGGCATCTAGGCGCATGCTGGAAGATGAACGTGTTCCTGTCACCTTTGTGAAATCTGAGGTAACCAAGGATTTTTATGCAACCCAGAAATGGCTGCCTGGGACTAGGCTGTGAGGTATCTGTGTTGTAACTGATTTCTCAGGACTCCAGTGTTGGTTATGTTTTGGTTTTGCCGCATTTAGATTAAATCATAATATCGAATCCTACTTTAGACATTTATGTGGTATAGTTACAAGGGAAAAAGTTGGTCATTTTTTGCAAACATGTCTTTCTCTTTTTAAGAATTGCTATTGGGGCCGGGCTCTGGCTCGGCCTGTAATCCCAGCACTTTGGGAAGCCGAGGTGAGTGAATTTCCTGAGCCGGCGGGTTCAAGACCAGCCTGGGCAAATTGGAGAGACCTTATCTCTACTATAAAAAAAATCAAAAAATTAGCCGGGCGTGGTAGTGCACGCCTGTAGTTCTAGCTACTTGGAAGACTGAGGTGGGAGGATCGCCGGAGCCCAGCAGGTTGACACTGGGGTGGCCGTGAGCATGACACTGCACTCCAGCCTGGGCAACAGAGTGAGACTCTGACTCAAAAAAAAAAGAAAAAAAAAGAATTGCTATTGGGTTTGCTGTGTAGGAAAATCTGTGTTCTATAGTCATGACACTTAGTGACTTGACTTATAACTCAGAAGTGGTTGTTGTTAACTCTTTGTTTGGATCATAGGACCCTTTGAGAACTGAATGAAAGCCCTGTATCCTCTCTCTCCAGCACATCCATATATATGCAGTACTTCATATATAATGTCAAAAGCTCCACAGTCCTCCTGAAGCCTAGTCACACACACTGCAATTAAACCAAGTCAAATAACTGAAAATGTCTAATACTCTCACCCGGCATTGGCTACTAGTGATGACATTAGGAATTGACAGCTATTAAGTTGTTTTAAAGATAGTTCTTTCTTAAATGATTTTTATCTAAATAAAATAAATTGTCATGGACCCTGTGAACTTATTGTATATCAGAATAATTAAATATTTGTTCTTATCCCATATATAATACTCCCCAAACCATGTTTTTTAATGTTCCACTTAAAAATGACTTAGCGAAAACAAAAACAGAGATCCACCCAGGTAAAGTCACTTTCAGTTATGCCTGCTGATTATAGATTTATCTTGTCACATTATTCTAATGTTGGCTATAATTAAGGAAAGTTGCTAACTGGTTTTTTGGTCAGGCGTGTTTAAATATGTACTGATATCAAGAAAATAAATAGCTGGCGTGCTCAGATTAGAGTTTAAGATACAATCTGCAGACAATTTACAATTAGAAGTCAACGAGTTAAAAGCCATTCCATATATATGCAAATTTCAGGGGCATAGAAATGAGTACCTAACATTTTTTCTTCCTGTGGTATAATTTAAACAGCTTGATTGTTGGCTCCCCCTGCTGGGCTAGATGAGAGATTCAGGGATGAAGATTTCAGGTGGTCCAGGTGATTATGTTGTCACTGTCAATTCCAACCTATAATATGTTGTGAGCATTAAGTTCTGGCTCAGTTAAACCTGTCTCAAATTGCTACACTAGATTTCAAAATGAAACCTATGGGGTACATATACATATAGAAAGCATAATAATTGATGTGTCAGAATCTAAGAAATATTGATAAAAGACTGCCATTTTCTTTCCCAGACAAAGAAATTATTTCTAAATGCACAAACCTGTTCCATTTTATTAGTGGCTCTGCTTCCTAGGCACTTTCTTTCAAAAGAAACTAGGCTAATGAGCCCAGGAGTAGAAACAGCAGTTTTCAAAGAACTGAGGTGATAACATCAAAATCAAGATTCGAAAAAGATATATTCCAAAATATCAAACTGCTCTTATTTCCCTAATATTATGTTATGTTCTCAAGGAAATGTAATGTACCGCTATACTAGATTATCAGACATTTTAGGAATGTAAATTTTAGAGCAATAAGGAAATTATTGTGCAACTCAGGGCTGTTGAATACAAAGATACCTATTCAGCACATAGAAACAAAGACTTCAGTATATTGATGAATAACTCTATAAAGTTTTCAAAACAATTTTCGAACTGCTTCTGGAATTGAGTATCATTTTTAAAAACAATACAAAGCCTGGGCATGGTAGCTCATGCCTATAATTCCAACACTTTGGGAGGCCAAGGTTGGAGGATTACTTGAACCCAGGAGTTTGAGACCAACCTAGGAAACATAGCAAGACCTCATTTCTACGAAAAAAAAAAAAAAATCATATAGCTGGTGTAGTGGCACGCGCCTGTAGTCCCAGCTACTTGAGAGGCAGAGGTGGGAGGACCACATGAGCCCAGGAGTTTGAGGCTGCAGTGAGTTGTGATTGTGCAACTACACTTCAGTCTAGATAGTATAGTGAAACCCTAACTAGAAAAACAAAACAAAACAAACAAACAAAAAATACAATCTGAAAACAAAATTAATTATGTTCATTTTAATACATACATGAGATGAAATAAACAGCTAAAAATGCGTTTGCATGTGTCTATAAACATATATCTCTATTTTGGTTGTATTTTTGGTTTACACAACTATTATGAGTACTTTTAAAATTCTGTGTACTTTGCAAAAAACAAACAAAAACAAAACTCAAACACTAGAAATATATACAGTAAAAAGTTAAAGTCCTCCAATGCTTCCCCTCCTAGGAGTTTTCTTAGGGTTATCTCTCTTCTTCAATCATAACCACTGCTGGACGCTGGTAATCCCAGCACTTTAAGAGGTGGGAGGATCGCTTGAGTCCAGAATTTTGAGCTTACAGTGAGCTATGATCGTACCACTGCACTCTAGCCTGGATGACAGAGAGCAACCCTGTCTTTTTTTTTAGAAAGTAGGATTTATTAAGAACACAGAAAATCTCCCACAATGGGAGGGGACCTGAAAGAGGTTGCCTTTAAAATCCAAAACAACGACAAAAAAACAACAATCCATTAATTTAGTAAACATCCCAACAGATTTTTTTCCCTATACATATAAAGGCCTTCCCTATACATATAAACTATATGTATAGTATTATTCCATACACACACACACACACACACACACACTATATATATAGTGTGTGTGTGTGTGTGTGTGTGT